GTTCGGCCATTTCTGTTAGCGCAAACCGGGACTGAGTGAGATAGAACATTCAAGCAGAAGGACTGAGATACTCAATAAAACTTCTCTACACTCGGAATAGAACTTGGGTTTCCTGGATGCGACGGCAAAGCGCCCACGTGCTACGCCACAAACGCCGGTATAAGTTCATGATTCTTGGTATGTTTTTAGTTTTAGTAAGAGTTTTATGGCACTTGCAACACAATAAGGTATTATAAGAGCCGAAGAATGGATTATGAGTGTAACATACACAAAAAAGAAGGAGGGGAGATAAGGACGACAGATGTTTGCTAGGAAAGAAGGAGCAAACCACACCAGGAGCACCCGCCCACCACCCACTTGGTATGTTTGATAACTTTGTTGACAGGTTCTTGGTATTGGTAAAGAAAGTGAATAGGGGTATTCATGACATGGACATAGTGTTTGTTTGCAGCATTGAAGGTGCTGTTGATTCCTTATTTAAGTAAGTGTTTTACGGCGCCGCTCGCAACTGCATAATGTTGTATGAGCGTGCGGGATACACTAAATATTTTCAGTTTGTAGAAAATTTTGATTTTTGACCTAGTGGCGGCCAAAGTATACTCTTATTGATTTTGGACCACCAAGGGATCTTTAACGTGCGTAACTTGCACACGGGACCTCCGAGATTTTTCGCCCTTGTCCGAGAAGGCTAGGTGTAGATCTTTCCTACCAGAAGATCAGGGTGCGGCTGAAAGACGGCAGTAAGAAGGAGCCAAGAAGTAGCACAAGAAAGGCTGCAGAAAGAGTCAGGAGCCCAAAGGAGGGGGCAAAGGAGGTGAGGGGTGAGGGCAGACATTGGGGACGAAAGCAAATGACGGGATATTGCTAGAACAGGAAAGGAGGTGTAAGGAGACAATCTCAGAGAAAAAAGAATTCTGTTTCTATCCAGATTCGAACCCAGAACCTATTAAATGAGAGGCGATACACCATAACCCCTAGGCCACGATTCATGATGGGTAAGTAACTCGGCATTGTGTGTGAATTTAACATATTTTAAAAAAATAATTTATGTGTTCGTTTTTGAGTGAATGTTTAGGTCTGTGTATGTGCGTGTGTGCCTGTGTACGTGTGTGTGTGAGTGTGTGAGTGTGTGTGCGCGCGCTTGTGCGCATGTGTGAGTGTGTGATTGTGTGTGTGTGTGTGTGTGTGTGTGTGTGC